TCTAAACAAGAGGCAATCTCTAGGTCATAGAGGAATTTTGCAAATCAAGACTGTGCTAAAGACACATGAACAGCTTTTCTTCTAAATCAGGAAAATGAGAAGAGGGCTTTGGAAAGTGATAGTGGCCTGAGTTGTTAGGATCTTTTAGGATCCCCTTTGCAAACCGGAAAGGAAGGGAAGGGCAGACCCCAGTTGTTAAATTACGCTGCAGAGGAAGCTTAATGCAGCAGCAAATGGGGTTAGATATATTGATGTTCCCAAAAGCCTAATAAAAAGGGGCTACTCCCAGAGCAGCACAAATTTTATTTCTCCTGCACCTGTGCAGAGATAGCAGCCTAGGGCATTTTGCAAAAACATGGTTTATTTCTCCCAATCTGAGAAGCAAACACATGCTCTTGACTTGCTCCTCACTCAAATTCCTTGTGCATAACTTGACACACCTGGCCCTTGGGGGGTCTAACATTTGGACTGGAGCTAAAGGAACTTGCCACCAGTAGCAAAAACCTGTTCAGGGCCCAGCAACGGGAGGATGGTGCACAGAACCAGATTGCATTCAGAGAGGCTGCACAGAGGAAACACAGCATGCTGATCTCCTCGCTCTCCAGGTCAGCAGTTATACTATGGCTTGGTGGAAGGCTCTCTAGTTTTTCAAGATGACTGGCCCATGGCAACTGTTTTTGGGGATCTTGTGTTCCTCTGCTTTAGGGATGTTCTCAAGTCTGCCCCATGCTGAGAAGCAGTTTTGCTCTGGATAGTAAGATGTTGTTTGTAAGGCAGTAATTGCTTTTGCTTGCCTGGGGAATCCAGAGTGGCTGTTAGGAAGGGACTTCCCCCCCCCTGCCACATCTGAGGTAAATGGTTCGTTAAATGGCAGTGATCGCTTTCAACTGGTGCAGCTGCAGGAGTGCTCCTTGGGGAGCCACCTGCAGCCTTGCCACGGACCTGCATCCCGGGTGTGGAGGGGTCAGACCTGACCTTTTTGCAATATCTGCACAGACCTGCCCTTGAGGGACAGAAGGCACTGGGCAACTTAGAATCGGTGGCAATAACACTTGGTCGCTCTCTAAACCTTGTGCCACCTCCACAAACCCTCTTGCATCCACCTAGGAACTCGCCAGCCACAGGTCTCCAAGAAGAGGCTTCACGGTGAGTGCTTTTGCACCTTCAGCGTGTGCAATCCAGCCTCCTTATCTGAGGGGTTAAATGTGCAGGAGGGGGAGGCAATACTTGTCCCAGCAGCAGTAAACTCAGAGCAGATTTTCTGTGGGAAGCCATCTGTCAGCTGGGGAGTGGTGCTGTGTCAATTGATCGGCTCCACCTCCAGCGCAGCTCAGCAAACCTCAGATCCCTGACCTTGCAGGGTGACAGTGGAGGAGTACTAGGGTCTCTGAAGGCATTGAGATCCTGTAATGGAGCCTCTACTCTTTCAGACTGGGTGAGGGACACCCTGTAGCATCTTGCTGTCTCTTGCAGCAGTTAGCTATGGGGAGCCTGGCCTTGCAGGTGAAAGGGCTGCAGGAGAAAGACAAGCTTTTTCCTGTAACCAGGGGGTTCTATTTCATGTGGATGATGTGCAATGGTAAGGGACTTCTTCTGCTTTGAACTCAACCTATCCCTATCCCAAACTTAAATCTGTCTCCCAGTGGCAATGTTGAACCATGTTTTGGCTGTTCCAAGGTGAAAAAGAGAGGTGGAGAGTGTGAAATTTCTGCAGGAGAAAAATAGGAGCTTGTAATGTTCTGTAAAAACCTTTAATGTCCAGAGGGGTAAAATATTCCTTTTTGGTTTTAGACTGTAATAAAGCAATAATGATTCTATGGGGTATATATATGCAAAAATGGTAAACCCCCCTTAGATCTACCTCTAATTTAAAAGCTTTCACTGTAACTCCACAGTGAGGTCAAATTCCTGGTCTGTCTGATAGCCCTGTGGTTCTCTGTCAGTTCAGCTCCTTCTCTTTCTCCCTGACTTACCATCAGGTGTGTTCAAAAATAAGGAGAGGAAGGAAATTGTGGCTCAGACATTTTTCTTAGTTTGCTTTTTGTCCCCCAAAAGGCACTCGCTGAGATTTCTGTCCAGCTCTATCAGCGATTCTCCTGATTTATTATGAGAGGGACACTTTCTTCTACTCTGTTGTCTCTCCTTCCTCCCTTGCCCCTCTCTTTTCTGAGTGCTGAGTTGGTTAGGGAATGAAGAACATTTGGCTAGCCCAAGTATTGGGGTGATGAAGTGCCAAGAGACATCTTGGCAAGCCAAAAGCTGGACTGGCTTGCACCTCTTTAACGCTCTCATTTTGAATAGAAGTTGCCTCTTCTTGTTGCTTCTATAATAAAGCAAGCAGTTGCTCAAGAGCAATTATTACATGCACAGCCAAGTGGTCTGTGCTGTTTGATTTAAGGAGGGGTGCTTACATTTCTTGATGGAGAGGAATTGTTTAGCTGGGTTGTGATAAAGCGATCTATTTGGTGTATTGATTTTTGATGTTCTGATACACTCTGGTTAGTGAGGAGCCCCGAATTTTCTTCCTGAGTCTTTGGGGCTGCATTCTCTTCAACAGTTGGGCTGTGCACTCATGTGGAACGAACTGTCAGTGGGCACTTTAGCTGGAGCATCTGACCCTGTTTAAAATCACGGGGAGAGCAGTACCTCTCGCACCTCGCTATCACGCCTACTAACTCCTGCATGTGTGTGTGCATGCAGCCTTGAAAAACTAGTGGATTTACCATCTCCCATCCCCTATTTGTCACTGAGGAAAGCACCCAGTATTTTTTCAGACAAGTCTTCAAGATGCTGTGTGTCAAATGTTCCCCTAATTCAACAGCCAGGTCCTTCAGATCTTAGACTCCCTGCTAAAAACTGTGGAAATTCACAGTCAATTCAGAGGTTCTTATGCATAAGCCTAGAAAAGCTTTTGTTGAATATAATATAAAAATAAATACTAGTCATCAGTGTAGCTGTCTTGCCTTTTCATGTTACAGTAAGGCTGAGTCTACGCACATTCAGTTTGCTACAAGTGGCTTGCAAAGGCACAGTACAATGAAGGGTATTGGAGATGCTTGTTCAGGCTTTCTTCAAACTCTGGCAGATGCCATGACAATAGTTTAATCTTTCCTCTGACTGTCCTGATTTTCTCCATAAGCTTCAAAGATAAGAAGTATCTTTTTATTGGAAGAGTGAGTTATTTTCCTGAGCACAGTTCTCGGAGAAGGGGGTGAATTCCAGTGATAGAAGGTATGAGCTGTTTGCCGCAGATGGAGAGGCTTAGTTGCTGCTCCTGTGTTGTTTAACTTACTTCCAATTTGTTGCTGTCTTCTTTTCATTTTTGTGTACATTTATTTTTCCAGTGAGCAAAGAGCATCTCTAAGAGTACTTTCACAAGTGGGTGGTGAGCTGTGTGGAGGAAGTGAACAGAGTTTAATCACCAAACCTCATAGGAGAGGCATGGGGATCTGGGAGCAAGGACTCTTTTGTATGGGATGTGACCCATAGGGAGTTCAGAAAAGAGAAACAAACAGCTTAAGGCTGGATGCAGGATCAGAGCTTTTTTTTCTGGAGTTGCTGAGCTATGGCATATTTTGCCAATAGAGAAAATGGCTATAGGTAATCAAAACCATGACTAAAGAAGGGATGGATGGATGGATGGATGGATGATTAACTGGCACCCCTGGTGAAAAACAGCTTTATCTGCCAGGCTGTAGGAGAACATTTGGTAGAGAGCTGTTCTAAATGTGAATATCTTGAGGTAGTGTCTTGAGGCATTTGCACAATAAGTTTCCCCAGGTCTAAAACTCCTTACTACCTTCTTTTGGATCTCTTGTTCAGCTCTTCTGGCTTATTAAAAGAAGGCGGGGCTGCTATCTCATTCCTAAAAGTGGTGATTGGATTTGGAGAACTTTCTTATTGTAATGGGAATCTCTGCAGAGAGATAGAATTTAATTCTGCCTTTTTTTTTGTTTCTTTGTGATCTAATCCTACTCTACAGAAGTCAGTGGGAGTTTGCAGTTGATTTTAAAAGATAGAAGATCAATCCATAAGCGAGCATATTGGCAAATTCTTTTTCCATTCTTTTCCATCATGAGTTGGGCCAAAGCAGGGATTTGGATTTTACTGGATCTGTCACAAATTGAAAGCTGGTATCTTGTGAAATCCCAGGACAAAAAGGGCTTACACTATGCCATTAGAGAGCTGAGATCTATACAAAACTCCCTTGGAGTCTTGGAGGTTATAAAATGGTACAAGTTCTGATTCTTGCAAAGATGAACTTAGTATGGTAGAAGGATATGAAAGCAATACCAAGAGAAACATTGAGTTGACATTTCTCTAAAACATGGTATAAACAAAACCCATGATAGTTTAGAATTTTTTTTTCTCCATTTTAGTATGTTTTATGTTGTTCTGAGACTGAGCCTTCACAGTTGTAGCACTCTGTGCTACTGCTTGGTTTGAGAGGAGTTGCAGTGGAGTGTCTCAGAGCATTTGTGTCAAATGATTTTGTCTACTCTAGTTGTACTTCAGTCTGGATACTCAAACTAGAGCGACTGTCCCAAACTAAATCAGTATCAAAGCTGATGTGTGTCCTGTTTATACTACACATAATGTTATGATAATCCCAGGATTAAAGCTCTTACTTTCTGCAGCCATGGAATATTTTGTACATATTCTCTTTTTCTTCCCTCATGTGTGTACCACTTGTTCCCTGTCTGTTAGAATCATGCCTAACATTTGAGACCTTTCAGTAATTTCGGCAACCTGCCTTTAAAAATAAAGTAAGGACAGCTGGTCATAAAAAGGCTTTTACTTCCTTCCCACTTGCATTACTTAAATTTTAAATTTTTAAAAGTTAAAACCCCTTAAGCTCTGGCCAAGACATGAAGTGTAGGATTCTGACTGCGTGCCTCCACCTCCATGCGCAATGGGTTGACTAGGAATGTTGTTTATTTCCTTTGACCTATTCTTGTTTTCTTTTTCTCTCTCTTCCTCTCTTTGACTTCCCGTTCTAGGATGAGTCATCCATGTTCTTCCAGTTTGGCCCATCGATAGAACAGCAAGCCTCTGTCATGCTCAACATCATGGAAGAATACGACTGGTACATCTTCTCCATTGTCACTACTTACTTTCCTGGTTACCAGGACTTTGTGAACAAGATCCGCAGTACCATTGAGCACAGCTTTGTGGGTTGGGAACTGGAGGAGGTCCTCCTGTTGGACATGTCCCTGGATGATGGGGACTCAAAGATCCAGAATCAGCTCAAGAAGCTCCAAAGCCCTGTTATCCTCCTCTACTGCACAAAGGAAGAGGCCACCTACATTTTTGAGGTGGCCAACTCTGTGGGTCTGACAGGCTATGGTTACACGTGGATTGTGCCCAGCCTGGTGGCAGGGGATACAGACACAGTGCCATCCGAGTTCCCCACCGGGCTCATCTCTGTCTCATATGATGAATGGGACTACGGTCTTCCTGCCAGAGTGAGGGATGGAATAGCCATAATCACCACGGCTGCTTCTGATATGCTGTCTGAACACAGCTTCATCCCTGAGCCCAAGAGCAGCTGTTACAACACCCAGGAGAAAAGGATTTACCAGTCCAACATGCTCAACAGGTAAGGGAAGGGGCTGGGCCAGCCTTACAAAAGAGGGGTCAGAGAGGACCTCTGAGACCAGAATAATTCTGCTAGGGCATGTGGTGCTTCGGGGCAGCAGGCAGTGTTGGCCAGGACCTGGGCAAGGGGAGGCGTGCTGATGGTGGGACTCGCGTTGCTGTGTGTCATGAGTGCCAGCGCTGTCACGCCCTTAGAAAGCCTCCATACAACACAGGGTCAAGCCAGCAAGAGGAAAAGGATCAATGAAGGCATAGTGCAAAAATTTGAGTGTGCTCCTCGATGCACAAAATTTTGCTTTTATAACAGAGCTGAACTTCTTGGAGTGTCTTTGCGTGAATGGGTCTGTAACTCTCAGGTGTGTTCTTGCTGCAAGCAGTGGGGATGTTTGTACTGAAATCTAGAAGGCGCCAGGTTCTGTTCCAGGAAGCAGCAGTATGTGAACGGGTGTCCTTTATAGGTGATGGTTGTGTAACCCACCTGGAATAGTTTCATGGCACCCGTTGTCTGAGGACCAAGTGTCCTTCTGCTGTCCATTAGCCCTGAATTACAGGAGAGAAGGAAGTGCAGAGAGATATGGAGAACTAGAGCTGCAAAAAGAGTTAGGGTCAACAACACTGCTCAGCTCCTGCTTTATACTGCAAGCCTTTAAAGCCCTTCGGTGTCTTAAGGATGCAGTTTACCTCAAAGAGGAAGACTTGTGCTATCACCCTGCTCATTGGCACTTTGTTGGCCATTGTCTGCTGGGTGTTTTGGGTCCCATTCTCTCTTGTGCGCATTATGCAGAGAGCCTAAGCACCTCCATCAGAATGGCAAGTTTTTCTAGGTGGAAAAGGGCATTTAAAAATAGGGAAAACCTATTTGAATAAACATCTTCTTTTGATCCAGATTCAGATTTTCTTAAGAAACAGTGCTAAGATGCCTGTTTAAGGTCGTAGAGGAAGCTTATGGTGGAGCAACCTCTAGAACAGCGGTCTGATTACTAGATCTTCCTTTTTGTCCCAGCTGGAGTTTTAGTGTGTCGCTAAGCAACCCAGATAATTAGACATGGGAAGAGCTGGGGGAGGTGGTATCTGCAATTAGCCAGATGCCCCCTGACCTGCTCAGCTGTCATTGTCCAATGTTTTACATATAAAATCCTTGTGTAGGTTGGTCCCTTTGTGGTAGGACAAGGGGAATCCAAGCAGCAGCCATCAGGAGAGGTGGCCACACAGAGCTCAGCATCTTTGTTCATTTGTCATGATGAATCATGGAGAAGTGTAAATGTGATGGATTGGTTTGCATGCTGTGATCCCTCACTGTCAAGTGTACTAGGCAGATAGAAGGACTGGTGGACAAGAAAGCAGATTTTGCTTTGCCTGAAAGTTGGGGACTGAGAGAAAACTCTGTTCTTTGACTCATTATATTATCCATAATGCTATCTGCCATTTGTTCTTTGCCTCTGTGATCCATTGGCATATTACCAGGTCTTATGGCCTTTACTTCCTCTTCCTCATACTGGCTTTTTGCTGTCTGCAAGCCTTGGAACCATCAAAGGTGCCCAAAGCTTTTATCAATTTCCTTCCCAGCTAGGCTTAGGGGTAATGGGTGCTTTCTACTGCTCTTTTGAGTCATCCCTGGAATGATTAAGCAGGGAAAAGATATTAAATATATACAAAGTTATCAGAAGTAGCACCAAGGCAGGCTGTTGTTCTACCTTTCCAAATGAATACGGATTTTTGGGGGGAGCTTATTGTGTCTTTTCAGCAGTTATGTAGAAAACAAAACGTTGTCCTCTGCTGTGGGAGGTAGTGTTCTGCAGAGACCTTCTGCTAATTAGTTCTGTTGACATTGTATTAGCCTGTGCGTAACATCATGCCCATATAGCTACGCTGCTTCAAGGACGTAACATAATCTCTCTGCATAGCACTTCTTTGCATTGTGTAGAAGTCGCCAGCTCAGAGACTCTTGAGTCTCTAGATATGACAGTACTGTTGTGCAGTGTAGATATGCCCTGAAGCCTGGGCACCCCACATGAAAGCAGTTCTTGTCACTTTTGAAGATATTAGCTTTCTTCTCACCTTCATGGCCTAAATCATGCTGTTCCTTCTCCCTTGTCTGCTTTGGGTACAGCATTCACAGGAATGACTGCAAATACATGTAGATATACCCAGCTTAGTTTTGGGTACCGACATCAGTCTCGCTGAGAAACAGAGTCAATTAGTCCATGCCAAGCTCCATTCTGCCACTGCCTAGATTGCTGCAGGCACCTGAGCTAGCTCAGAAATAATTACACTGTGTTGCTGTTGCTTCAGTGCAAATATTCGCTTTGCCTCACACAGCGCTGGCTGTGCTCTGCCAGTCTGGGGTTCTGACCCCCCCAAATGTTTCCATCCTGTCTGTACTTCTGAGTGAGATGGTTAAAAACTGTGACTTCAGTGAGTTGGGTGCTTGGTTTTCTATTTAAGTGAAATTACTTTTGGGCACCTTTTGATGTATAAAAGCTAGTGGTGTCTGAAATAAGCCATTGCTTTTACAAATCCAAGGGTTCAATAGAAATGTGATCGCTTCAAGCTCAGCCTCACAGCCCGGAGTCTGGGCAGGAGGAAAGGTAGAGGAGAGGGAGAAGAGGAAAGAAGCAGACGTGAAGATACGAGTTCACCTCACTCAACCAAAACCCACAGAGATTAATGGCTGTAATCTGTGTTCATACCTTCAAGTCCCGTTGAACTCACTGGAATTTACTATGTGCTAAGCTTTAAACCTCTCCTGATATACTTTGTCTATCTGAGGTCTTTAAATCTCTCCTGAAATGCTTTGTCTATCTGGGGTATTACAGATTCTGCAGACCTGGCTGCTTCATACCTTCCCTAACCCCTTCCATCTACTAAGATCCCACAGCACCTGTGCATTGTGCACGGCAGGCAGCAGCAACACCTGCAAGTCTGGGACACAGTCTGGCTCTCTTTGGACTGGACTGAAGGTTCTGGAAAACTAATTTTAGTCCTGCCCTGGACCCGGCAATACTATATTCAGCCATCTGCAACTTACAGTTCCCCCTCCACATGCCTACACAGAATAGAGAAATGTATGTACGTGGGCTTGATGTCTGGGGAGACTGCAAAGTGTATGTGACCTCAGATAATACATCACCATGTAGCCGGTGTTTCAGAAACTCTTGAAGCTAATCCAAAGTGGTCCAATTTGCTTCAAATCCATAGCTGGGAGGCAGTGCGATAAAGGAATTTTCCCATTTTATTCTTTGGAGAGTGACACATCCAAGTAAAAAAATGTGTAATTTAGTTCAGTTGGGGCACATTATATACTAAGACTGTGAATTAGCCAATTCCCAAGATCTGCCTTTGAACTCTGACCATTTCTTACTTTTTTCTTTCTGAAAGTGCAGTAGTTCTGAATGCAGCTAAAATCAAATGGTCTTGCTTAATGTGGTCTCAGTTGGTGGTTGATCTGGGTGTATAATGGAGTAAGGAGGAAATGAACTGAATGTTGCTCAGATTTAGAAAGAAAGCTCAGTTTCTCCATGTCTTTCCTCCTTCTTACGTTGACACTCTTGTTCGGTTTTGCAAGTGCTTGTGCAAACAAAGTTTTGTTTGAAGTATGGCTGCAAGCACAAAAAGAAACAAGACAGACTGTTATCTAAATGCCATTTCTTGCCAATGTAGGTGTTTGGTCTGCATCTTCTTGTATTAATAATGGTCTCATAGCAACTGTTTCTTGTCTGTCTTGAAACAGATTCTCCTTTGTGTTAGGCTGGAACTGCAGAAGTATGATCACGACCATTGAACATTGCAGATTTTTCCTAGAAATGAGCCCTCTGGTGAGATAACTCCACTAACTAGTACAAAAATCATACTTTAAGAAAGGTTTGTTCTACAAGAATTGTTAATTTTCTTTTTGAATGATTCTTGAGGAAGTTTTCCTCTAGTGAGGGATTTATCTCAATTTATGCTGATAATAGGCTTAGGTGATCATTTGGAGTCCAAATATCCAAACGTTGTTTTCCAGTTCAATTACAGTCTTTAATTCTTTGTTTTGTTTGTAATAATTACCTGTTCATTTATTCCTTCATTGTCCCAGAAAAAAATCTTATTTGGAATATTCCAGTCTACAAGTTTATAGTTATCTCAATGGCCGGGCATCCAGCAAACCACTGTGCTCCCTGCTCCCTTCTACTGGATGAGAAGATTACAGAGGCTGGGGAAGAGTTTCTAACAGGGGTTTCCTCTGCAGAGATGATCAGATGTGGAGTTCTTCCCTCTTGGCCCTTCCAAGGAGCGTTGCTAACCTTCTAGGCATTCTGCAAAGCTCATTCTCCCTTCACCGTGGCTGCTGAGGAGTGAGTGGGCAGAGGTGGATGTGTTTATAGGCAGCCTTCTGCTTATTTCGTTATTTTAATTGATGGGACAGATTTCCTTGAGCTTGAGATTGGTACTTCTCATTACATTTTAGAAATGGGAAGAAATAACTAAATGACAGGAGCATTCTTGGGAGTGGAATTCAGGGATGAGTCATGAGAAAAGAATATGATTTCTGGCACATACTTGGGGAATAGAAGCTCAGCCGTTTTGTATGGGTATTCACAGTCGTTGGGCTACAGAAGCTGTGATTTTATTATAGCCTTCAATGAGACCTGGGTTCTTCCCACTGGTTGTCATGGCTGCTTGGAAATGCTGGGCCATAACTACTAGTTTGTTGTTGTAGGGTTACTAATGAGTTCTCCACTGATTGGCTTTAATAGTCTCTCATTTAACACCAGGCTGCACACACCAGATTTCATTTTAATAAAAAGTGCAGTGAAGCATTTGCTTTGGAATGAAAATACAAATGTGGAATTACACTGCCTTTGCAAAGAAATACGTTAAGAGGGGAACAAAGGTAGGTTCAATTCTGCACCTCAGATTCCTCAAATATGAAAACAGCTGGCAAGATAGCTCGGTGCATTGTGTGGGCATGATACTTCCACTTTGGGGAAAATACTAACTTTCATCTGGAGCTTTCCATGC